TTTTTTTTTATTCTTTCGGTTGTTATTAATTTATGCATTTAAGTAATGTGTTTACTCTTGATGCTTACCAAAAATTTTGAAAATGTTAGTGAAAAAAGTAAGGTCAAAGTGAAGTACCTTTTTCCCCTTCCACATCCATGTTAGAAATGCGAGAGATATGGGGCTTGCAGTCCTTTTTGAATAGATTTGAAACGACTGCATCTGATGAATAACTAATTATCAATTTCTGCAGGGTAGTATTTTGGAGAATATAATCCGGCAACTTCATTAGCTTTGGACAATAATGAATTGTCAAGGAAAAAAGATGTGGCATGATTTCTCCTCTGCTTCCAGAATCCCACTCTTCCCACTCTTCCCACTCATTCATATAATAAAACTGCAGTGTCTTCAAATTGGGGAAGGCAACAACGGATGATGAAGATGTAGACAAAGACATTTCTATCCCCAAAAATTCAACTCCCACCTTTTTTACTTTCTGCATACCATTCACCACGAGTGATTCTAGAGAAGGCAATTTCCCCAAGGGAGGCCACTGTTCAACATTTACAAACTTCAAAATTACAAGTTCCTTCAGCTTGGTTAAGGACACCATCCAACTGGGCTGAATAAAAGAGAATGTGCTTTGATAACCATGTAATTCTAATGTTTCCAAATCTGAAGGTAGCTTTAAGGCTTCAAAAACAATACTTGGTGATTCATTAGCTTGGCTCACCGGCAAACCATTGAGATCAAATTTTAGAGTCAAATTAGTAATCCCCTTCTTATTCTGTAGTTGTGCCTTTTCTGCTTCCCTCTGATCTCTAACACTTCCCAATCCTCCTATGCTAAGAGTCCCACAAAGATGATTCAAGTTCCCCAAATCACTAAGTGCAACTCCTTTATAAGTCACCACAAACACATTCAATGTTTTCAAACTAGTCAATTTCTTCAGACCTTTAGGCATGAAATTTAGAGCTATCCTCTCATTCCGAAGATGCAACAAGTTGATAAGATTTCCCATTCTATGAGGAAGTATTTTAAGTTTGTAACATCCACTAATGTCTAGTATAAGCAAATTATACAAGTCACATACTGCCTTAGGCAATTCCTTTAACTCCCTATTTTCTGACAAGTCAAGATGCCTTAAATGTATCAATTTGCCTATTTGTTTTGGACACTTTTTAATTCTAGAATCTGAACATTTCAATACCCTGAGACATTTAAGTCTATCAAACAATTTCAATAATTCAATATGAGAAATAGGATTTCTTCCATTTGACTCAATAAGCAAAGTGTGCAAGTTTTTAGTGCAAGTCTGAATTGCAGTAGTCTCTTCTGTTTGCATCATAAAAAAAAAATGACGAGTTCTGCCATTGGAACATTGAATACTACTACTACTTCCCATTGTCAAACACTCACCTCTAGTCAGAAATACAGCAAAATCATGCACCATGTCATGCATTTTGCACTTGATAATGCCACCATTTTCATCCATTTCAAAATCTTGAAATAAGAAGCGCATTGACAGGTCATTGAAGTTGTTTTCCCCTACCATCTCCATATCTTGAGTCCCTCTAAGGAAACCTTGTGCCATCCATAACTCGATTAACATTTTTTTCTCTATCACATAGTCTTTTGGAAAGATTGCACAATATGAGAAACACTGCCTCAAGTGTGGTGGTAAATCAAAATAGCTAAACATTAAGGGATGGAAAAGACCTTCCTCAGCCTCTTTAAGTTTCCACACTTCACTTTCTAACACACTTTGCCATCCTATTATGTTTTGTTTCAAGCGCATAAGGCCACCTAATGTCTTCAAAGCCAGTGGCAAGCCTTTGCACTTGTTTGCAATTTTCCTACCAATTTCTTCCAAATTTCTACAATCGTCATTAGACCTCCCAAAAAATGCTATTTGACTAAAAAATGACCAACCTTCTTCTTCAGATAACTCTCCTACTTTGAACAATTCACAACCCATGACTCTTGCTACTCCCTCCTTACGCGTGGTCACTAAGATCTTGCTTCCTTGGGAACCAGTACTCAACAACAAGTGTCTCAGTTGATCCCAATTTCCGTACTCTTCAGTCCACACATCATCTAGGACAAGTAGGAATTTCTTACCCTCGATTGAGGTTTTAAGGTATGGCAATACATCCTGCAATTTGTCTAACCTTTCAATAGTATCCCTCAACTTCTCCATTTCTACAATAGCATCCCTCAATTTATCCATTTCTTCAAAAGGAGAATTCAATTTATGCAATTTCTCAATGACATCCTTATCAGCATTACAAATCACAAATTTAAGAATATCTTTGGCAATTTTCATCTCACTGAAAGTATCAGAAACACACACCCATATTTTTGCTTCAAAATGAGACTTTACTTTCTCATTATTAAAGGCTAGTTTAGCAAGGGTTGTCTTCCCAATCCCCCCAATGCCTACCAAGGAGATCATCTGAAGTTTTGATCCTATTTCTTCAATTCTACCCTCATTTAGCAACATATTTACTATCCTCTCCTTATCCTCAACCCTACCCATCACCTCTGCTACATTTATGAAAGAAGTGGTTTCATCACGTTTTGGTTTTTCACTATTTAATACCTTAAACCCATACCTTTCTTTCTCAATTGCAATAACATCCAACCTCTTATTCAAATCTTGTATCTTGTGTGCAGTTTTGAGAAGCAGTTTCCCTCTATTAAAGCAATAGGAAGGAGAGGGGACGAAGGAACATACCTTCGGCTTCGGTTCAAGTTCTGACTTGTGAATTGCAGTGCTCCACTCATCCAATGCATTATCAATGTCATAAGAGACGTCCTTGAGCTTGTCCAACCAATCTCGAACACCAGCCTTCCCCTTGTCCAGTTGCTGCCGCTCGGCATCCTCCAAAACAGCTTTGATGGCTCGAAAATTGCTACTGAGTTTGTTCACTTCTCCACGAACATTGATAACTTGTCTCACCGCTTTCTCTATTTCATCTAGAGCAACTGAAGTCAATTTTTCTAGCACAGCTGAAACAACTGCATCGGCTGCCATGATTGAGAAGAAGGAGGAAAAGAGATACAAGTTTGTGTGCTTAATTGTTTGGTGGAGTTAAAGTGGCTTAGGAGGGGATCATGTTTCTCTAGTTTTATAGGAAGAAGACAGCTACTAGTAAATTGATTGGCTCCATTTCTTGCAATTATTGATCCTGGAAAAGGGAAAAAAGAGAAGATACGCGATCACTTTCTTTTTTATTTTTTCCATCTAATTTCTTCCTTTCATATTCATAATTGTGAAATTTTCTTTCCTTACTTTATCTGTATGGTCCCATTTGCATTCACATGGAGGTCAAAATTTCCCTAAAATATTCATTTGAAAGTTCCATGTGGTTTCGGGAAATTTCATACGCATAAAGAAAGAAAAAAAAAAGGGATAAAGCCCCAGCAATTGTTAGTGCTGAAATTATTTAGTAATTAACATCCAAAGTGAAACACCAAGAAACAGAGCATTTCAACGAACTTCAACTCTCTCCATCTTGCTTTTTTCTTTAATTTCACAAGTATGAAAGTTTTAATTCCAAGAGTTTTGATTTAATTTCACAACCTAAACGTATATTTGGTTTAGAGAGGAATAATTTTTTTTTTATATAAAATTATGAATTCTAAAATAAGTATTAAGAAATATATTCTTTATAGAGAGGAATGGAATATATATTCTTGAATCACAATATCAAATGTAAAGATATTTTAAATTGGATTCTCACATTAGAAATAAAAGATTAAAAATAAAAGAAGAAATATACAATTTAAATATAATATAAATTACCCTATTTATTTTTCTTACAATTAGTTTTAAATTAAAATTTTGTATTACGTGTACGACGACATGTTTTCTAAGGGTTGTAATATGTTAGCATACTTGTACACAACATTTTCAAAATCTCTTTCCCATGGTTAATTATTTTAAAAGATTATTACTTATCTAATTTATTTTTTAAAAATTAAGATGAAAATAATTTTAAAATTATATATTTTAATAAAATATAATAAAAAAAGAGAAAAAAATTATTTAATTTATATTTTAAAAATAAAATATTTTTCATCTTTTTTAATAAAAATTCATCGAAGTCACATATTTTAAAATAATTTTTTTTAATTTTTAAGAGAGAAAGTGAATTGATGATTTTTCTTATTTTAATAGGATTTTAACAGAAGTTTACTTTAAAAAAATTGTTCTTTTTCTATAAACATTTTTTTCTCTAAAACTTAAAATTTTGTAAGACATAATGTTTGTAATTTATAATGAGATGACAGCTACTAGTTAATTGATTGGCCCCATTTCTTGCAATTGTTGATCCTGGAAAAGCGAAAAAAAGGAAGATGCGTGATCACTTTCCTTTTGATTTTTTCCATCTAATTTCTTCCTTTCATATTTCAAAATTGTGTTATTACCAAATTTCATAATTGTTAAATTTTCTTTCATTACTTTAATTTGAATA